ACTGAAGGAAATCTTTCAGAACTAATTTACAACTTTCTTTGCTTTCTTAGTAAAAAAAATTGTGGCATGGGAAGGCACACATTCCTCGTGCATCCCAAGTCCGAGGACTATCGAAGCTGGCTGCTTATTCGATATCTATCATGGATGGAAAACGTGTGAGTTACTAAAATTCATATTCTCAAGTAGAATTGAACATCACAGATGCTTTCACACATAATTTTTTTTATATGCTTTTACACATAAAGATAAGCATGCATGGACATTTTCTTAATTACTGAACCATTGTGCTTCAGGCTCTACGGTTATATATCATTCATGGATGGCATAACAATGGGCTTTGGAGTTGGCCTATCTAGTCATGGTCGCTACATAGTGGTAACTGAGGTACAATCTGATCTTTTTTCTGCCCATAAATATTTGATCTTGCATTTTAAACTATCATAGCTTTACTAGTTTTCACTCTAACGTTATGTTCTTCCATAAATCTGTGGGTCATACTGTTCTTGCTATGCCAGAAAATTCAATTGGTTTGTTTCCCGATGTTGGGTTTTCATATATAGCAACTAAAACTCCTGAAGGGGGTTCTATTGGTATGGTTATCTTACTCTAAAACTAAGCTCTAGGAACTGCACCAAAAGCAGTTAGTAAAAGGATACTATAGATTAAACCAGTAGTACTGGGTTTGACGTGGGAGGGTCATGCTTATTTTGAGCCTTGTCTTTTAAAACTTTTTGGTTCCTTGACGGTGATAGCCTTTTTGGTTCCTACTATTATCGTACAGAAATATGGTTCATGTTCAATTCTCCTGAAATGTCTACCGCCATTGTATCTTCTTTAATGATTAATCTTACGACTTAAAGCACAATCTTTGGTTTGCTCAAAGCTCTAACGTGTGTTGCAACGTTGCTTCTTTTGGCAGGGGAGATTGTGCATTTTGGTGCCGGGTACATCACAGATTCCTGTTATAAATTCCTCTGTATAAAACATGTACAATCTTATTGTCGTAGCCTTTGATGAAGTTTTAAGATGATTCCTAAGTTATATTTATTCAATCTTATTGTTCAATGATTTTTCTTCTTATCCTTTTCAGGGTCTTCCTCTTAGTTCAGCTTGTAAGTGTCATCAGTTTCATTACATGGCTGAATGATTTCTATCAAATCGAACTGTATTACATTTTCTTCTGTTGGATCCATATGATGTCACTTGCAACTGCTGCATATGTTATATGCGTAGTTGGGATCATCATGATGTACATCTGGTATGCGCTGGAACCGTCCTGCCTACTTAATATTTTCTTCATCACGTGGACACTGGTACTCATTCAGCTCATGATGAGCGTTTCCCTCCACCCTAAAGTATGTTCTCGAAACTAACGGATTTGTAATCAAATCTTAAACCCTAAACCCTAAACCCTGAACCCTGGACCCTGGACCTGGACCCTGAAGAGGAGGAAAATAAAGGAAGAACGTAGTTTTGGGGAATAGGTGAGTAGGGCTTTGTTTGGTGACAGCCTGTCTCCAGCTGTGTCTTCCAAACCTCTTGCTTCGGAGTTCCCTGACAATGGCTTTGCCTCGTGTTTCTTCCGGTTCTTACGTGGATTTTGCCCTGGCGGATTCTACCTCCATTGAGGATTGCTTCTCTTTTTCCTTATAGACAACGAATTGTTATTTTATTTGACATGATAATTAGGGGAGTTCAAATTTCGAACTAATTTGATTAATTGATTGAACTTAATTAGTTTGGTTAATTCGGTCGGTTACTGAATTAGTTCGGTCAGTTAACGGTTAATAATTTTTTAGATATTCGATTAACGATTAATTCGGTTCGAAATCAATTAATTAACCAATTAACCCTTAAATATTTTTTTATTATTTTTTCACCACATAATATGCTGCCCCCACTTCCTGCTACTCAGTTATCAATTATTTTATGCCTTGATTTGTGTAAAGTATGAGCACGAGCATGGGCAGGTAGAGCACACGTTTGACAGTATAGGAACTTGCAGTCATTTCTTGAATGTGTAATTCATTAATCTAAATTTTATGATCTTCTCATGCATAGTAGATATATTTACCTATAATTTCCTTAATGCATCCAAAAGAAAATTCACCAGCATACTTCTTCAAAGACTTGCAAGCTCTTGTACAATTATAAAAATAACTTCTTCAAATTCACCTGCAGCAGAGTGAACATTCCTCACTAACTTTGTCAATACATTAGCCCAATATAGGTCGCCACCCATATTTATGCCATCTCCGATTACAACTTTCTTGCCTTCATCATCCACTTCATGTTCAAGAGGCTTGTGCAGTAAGTCCTGCACAAAGAAGTTAGCTATCTCCCTGATTGAACATAAGAAAAATCAAGCATTTCACCTAGCAATACTGCAATAGTAGCTGTCGAGTTGCAGTTAGCACAACCTTCATACACTATTTATTTTGTAGAATTTCAAATTTGTTGGTTTGTTTGAACTAAATTGATAGATACACATATCTTATTTTAATATAATGTTTGAATCAAGTTAATTAGATATTATAAACTATTTTTTAATTAAAAAAATATTAAATTCAAAAATTCTAAAAAATTTCGGTTAATTCGAAAATTAATCGAAATGTATTTGGTTCGGTTAATATTTTGAAAAAAAAGTTCGGTCCGATTAACGGCCCTAAGCCCTAAGCCCTAAGCCCTAAGCCCTAAGCCCTAAGCCCTAAGCCCTAAGCCCTAAGCCCTAAGCCCTAAGCCCTAAGCCCTAAGCCCTAAGCCCTAAGCCCTAAGCCCTAAGCCCTAAGCCCTAGACCCTAAGCCCTAGACCCTAGACCCTAAGCCCTAAGCCCTAAGCCCTAAGCCCTAAGCCCTAAGCCCTAAGCCCTAAGCCCTAAGCCCTAAGCCCTAAGCCCTAAGCCCTAAGCCCTAAGCCCTAAGCCTAAGCCCTAAGCCCTAAGCCCTAAGCCCTAAGCCCTAAGCCCTAAGCCCTAAGCCCTAAGCCCTAAGCCCTAAGCCCTAAGCCCTAAGCCCTAAGCCCTAAGCCCTAAACCCTAAACCCTAAACCCTAAACCCTAAACCCTGGACCCTGGACCCTGGACCCTGGACCCTGGACCCTGGACCCTGGACCCTAAGCCCTACTATATGGTATTGGTGATAAATGCTTCTCTAAATATGTTTGGATTTTACTTAATATCAAATGTCCTGGATCATTTATGTTTTCATGTATGTAAACTGTAGATGATGAAGAAAGAGAGCAGCTTGCAAAGGAGATTTCCGAGGACTGGAGTTCTGGTAATTGAAAGCACAGAAATGTGTTGAGTTACATGATTTATTTTTAGGTAATAAACGGATTCTTATACTCTAGTCAATTGCAGTTTTTGAGCGAAGCATAAACACATTGTTTCTAACTTCTTGTTAATGACCAGTAAGTCGATTAATCATTCTGTTTCCATGCCTTGCTAAAGTTGTTCGAGCTTTCGCCAATATTCTCTTTGATATGAAATAGATTAAGCCTCACATTATCGTATGCAACTCTGAAATGTTGAGATTTTTCGGTCTGACGCAACTTTAATCGCAGAGAATATAATTGTAAGTGTAAATTAGTGAAAATAATTCTGTGTAAATTGACATGTAATTTAAGTTCAATGCATTTGTTTTAACTATGGTTTATCTCAATGTTCTTTTTTCTGCAGATACTTCTTTTGGGAGGAAGGAAGAGCGATAAGTATACAGTTTCATGACCTTTTTCTTTCCTGTTCAGAAACTGAATCGAAAGCTTGTGCATATAAGCATTGGGCTAGTTTTCATGCTTTGCTGGCCATTATTCAGGTTGCTTTCTCATTGAGGCGTCTTTATCTTGTTTTACCAGATGTTGCTGATGAAATAGTTAACACTTATCATTGCAGTTCTGGGTTTCGTGGAGCAATTTTAGCAGCTGTTACGCCTGGTATCAACATTATACGGATGTTGTGACTGCACGATTTCTCATTGAGCTTTATTGTTTTAGTATGATTTGTATCCTATTCTTTCACTTTTTTAAATTTACTTTTACTGGTTACGCATGATTGTTGCAGTGGTGAAGAACTCTGATATCGCATTTTTTAATCTACTGGGGAATGTGGCAGTTTTGACTGAAGGAAATCTTTCAGAACTAATTTACAACTTTCTTTGCTTTCTTAGTAAAAAAAATTGTGGCATGGGAAGGCACACATTCCTCGTGCATCCCAAGTCCGAGGACTATCGAAGCTGGCTGCTTATTCGATATCTATCATGGATGGAAAACGTGTGAGTTACTAAAATTCATATTCTCAAGTAGAATTGAACATCACAGATGCTTTCACACATAATTTTTTTTATATTGCTTTTACACATAAAGATAAGCATGCATGGACATTTTCTTAATTACTGAACCATTGTGCTTCAGGCTCTACGGTTATATATCATTCATGGATGGCATAACAATGGGCTTTGGAGTTGGCCTATCTAGTCATGGTCGCTACATAGTGGTAACTGAGGTACAATCTGATCTTTTTTCTGCCCATAAATATTTGATCTTGCATTTTAAACTATCATAGCTTTACTAGTTTTCACTCTAACGTTATGTTCTTCCATAAATCTGTGGGTCATACTGTTCTTGCTATGCCAGAAAATTCAATTGGTTTGTTTCCCGATGTTGGGTTTTCATATATAGCAACTAAAACTCCTGAAGGGGGTTCCATTGGTATGGTTATCTTACTCTAAAACTAAGCTCTAGGAACTGCACCAAAAGCAGTTAGTAAAAGGATACTATAGATTAAACCAGTAGTACTGGGTTTGACGTGGGAGGGTCATGCTTATTTTGAGCCTTGTCTTTTAAAACTTTTTGGTTCCTTGACGGTGATAGCCTTTTTGGTTCCTACTATTATCGTACAGAAATATGGTTCATGTTCAATTCTCCTGAAATGTCTACCGCCATTGTATCTTCTTTAATGATTAATCTTACGACTTAAAGCACAATCTTTGGTTTGCTCAAAGCTCTAACGTGTGTTGCAACGTTGCTTCTTTTGGCAGGGGAGATTGTGCATTTTGGTGCCGGGTACATCACAGATTCCTGTTATAAATTCCTCTGTATAAAACATGTACAATCTTATTGTCGTAGCCTTTGATGAAGTTTTAAGATGATTCCTAAGTTATATTTATTCAATCTATTGTTCAATGATTTTTCTTCTTATCCTTTTCAGGGTCTTCCTCTTAGTTCAGCTTGTAAGTGTCATCAGTTTCATTACATGGCTGAATGATTTCTATCAAATCGAACTGTATTACATTTTCTTCTGTTGGATCCATATGATGTCACTTGCAACTGCTGCATATGTTATATGCGTAGTTGGGATCATCATGATGTACATCTGGTATGCGCTGGAACCGTCCTGCCTACTTAATATTTTCTTCATCACGTGGACACTGGTACTCATTCAGCTCATGATGAGCGTTTCCCTCCACCCTAAAGTATGTTCTCGAAACTAACGGATTTGTAATCAAATCTTAAACCCTAAACCCTAAACCCTGGACCCTGGACCCTGGACCTGGACCCTGAAGAGGAGGAAAATAAAGGAAGAACGTAGTTTTGGGGAATAGGTGAGTAGGGCTTTGTTTGGTGACAGCCTGTCTCCAGCTGTGTCTTCCAAACCTCTTGCTTCGGAGTTCCCTGACAATGGCTTTGCCTCGTGTTTCTTCCGGTTCTTACGTGGATTTGCCCTGGCGGATTCTACCTCCATTGAGGATTGCTTCTCTTTTCCTTATAGACAACGAATTGTTATTTTATTTGACATGATAATTAGGGGAGTTCAAATTTCGAACTAATTGATTAATTGATTGAACTTAATTAGTTTGGTTAATTCGGTCGGTTACTGAATTAGTTCGGTCAGTTAACGGTTAATAATTTTTTAGATATTCGATTAACGATTAATTCGGTTCGAAATCAATTAATTAACCAAATTAACCCTTAAATATTTTTTTATTATTTTTTCACCACATAATATGCTGCCCCCACTTCCTGCTACTCAGTTATCAATTATTTTATGCCTTGATTTGTGTAAAGTATGAGCACGAGCATGGGCAGGTAGAGCACACGTTTGACAGTATAGGAACTTGCAGTCATTTCTTGAATGTGTAATTCATTAATCTAAATTTTATGATCTTCTCATCATGCATAGTAGATATATTTACCTATAATTTCCTTAATGCATCCAAAAGAAAATTCACCAGCATACTTCTTCAAAGACTTGCAAGCTCTTGTACAATTATAAAAATAACTTCTTCAAATTCACCTGCAGCAGAGTGAACATTCCTCACTAACTTTGTCAATACATTAGCCCAATATAGGTCGCCACCCATATTTATGCCATCTCCGATTACAACTTTCTTGCCTTCATCATCCACTTCATGTTCAAGAGGCTTGTGCAGTAAGTCCTGCACAAAGAAGTTAGCTATCTCCCTGATTGAACATAAGAAAAATCAAGCATTTCACCTAGCAATACTGCAATAGTAGTTGTCGAGTTGCAGTTAGCACAACCTTCATACACTATTTATTTTGTAGAATTTCAAATTTGTTGGTTTGTTTGAACTAAATTGATAGATACACATATCTTATTTTAATATAATGTTTGAATCAAGTTAATTAGATATTATAAACTATTTTTTAATTAAAAAAATATTAAATTCAAAAATTCTAAAAAATTTCGGTTAATTCGAAAATTAATCGAAATGTATTTGGTTCGGTTAATATTTTGAAAAAAAGTCTGGTCCGATTAACGGCCCTAAGCCCTAAGCCCTAAGCCCTAAGCCCTAAGCCCTAAGCCCTAAGCCCTAAGCCCTAAGCCCTAAGCCCTAAGCCCTAAGCCCTAAGCCCTAAGCCCTAAGCCCTAAGCCCTAAGCCCTAAGCCCTAAGCCCTAAGCCTAGCCCTAAGCCCTAAGCCCTAAGCCCTAAGCCCTAAGCCCTAAGCCCTAAGCCCTAAGCCCTAAGCCCTAAGCCCTAACCCTAAGCCCTAGACCCTAGACCCTAGACCCTAAGCCCTAAGCCCTAAGCCCTAAGCCCTAAGCCCTAAGCCCTAAGCCCTAAGCCCTAAGCCCTAAGCCCTAAGCCTAAGCCTAAGCCCTAAGCCCTAAGCCCTAAGCCCTAAGCCCTAAGCCCTAAGCCCTAAGCCCTAAGCCCTAAGCCCTAAGCCCTAAGCCCTAAACCCTAAACCCTAAACCCTAAACCCTAAACCTTAAACCCTAAACCCTGGACCCTGGACCCTGGACCCTGGACCCTGGACCCTGGACCCTGGACCCTAAGCCCTACTATATGGTATTGGTGATAAATGCTTCTCTAAATATGTTTGGATTTTACTTAATATCAAATGTCCTGGATCATTTATGTTTTCATGTATGTAAACTGTAGATGATGAAGAAAGAGAGCAGCTTGCAAAGGAGATTTCCGAGGACTGGAGTTCTGGTAATTGAAAGCACAGAAATGTGTTGAGTTACATGATTTATTTTTAGGTAATAAACGGATTCTTATACTCTAGTCAATTGCAGTTTTTGAGCGAAGCATAAACACATTGTTTCTAACTTCTTGTTAATGACCAGTAAGTTGATTAATCATTCTGTTTCCATGCCTTGCTAAAGTTGTTCGAGCTTTCGCCAATATTCTCTTTGATATGAAATAGATTAAGCCTCACATTATCGTATGCAACTCTGAAATGTTGAGATTTTTCGGTCTGACGCAACTTTAATCGCAGAGAATATAATTGTAAGTGTAAATTAGTGAAAATAATTCTGTGTAAATTGACATGTAATTTAAGTTCAATGCATTTGTTTTAACTATGGTTTATCTCAATGTTCTTTTTTCTGCAGATACTTCTTTTGGGAGGAAGGAAGAGCGATAAATATACAGTTTCATGACCTTTTTCTTTCCTGTTCAGAAACTGAATCGAAAGCTTGTGCATATAAGCATTGGGCTAGTTTTCATGCTTTGCTGGCCATTATTCAGGTTGCTTTCTCATTGAGGCGTCTTTATCTTGTTTTACCAGATGTTGCTGATGAAATAGTTAACACTTATCATTGCAGTTCTGGGTTTCGTGGAGCAATTTTAGCAGCTGTTACGCCTGGTATCAACATTATACGGATGTTGTGACTGCACGATTTCTCATTGAGCTTTATTGTTTTAGTATGATTTGTATCCTATTCTTTCACTTTTTTAAATTTACTTTTACTGGTTACGCATGATTGTTGCAGTGGTGAAGAACTCTGATATCGCATTTTTTAATCTACTGGGGAATGTGGCAGTTTTGACTGAAGGAAATCTTTCAGAACTAATTTACAACTTTCTTTGCTTTCTTAGTAAAAAAAATTGTGGCATGGGAAGTCACACATTCCTCGTGCATCCCAAGTCCGAGGACTATCGAAGCTGGCTGCTTATTCGATATCTATCATGGATGGAAAACGTGTGAGTTACTAAAATTCATATTCTCAAGTAGAATTGAACATCACAGATGCTTTCACACATAATTTTTTTATATTGCTTTCACACATAAAGATAAGCATGCATGGACATTTTCTTAATTACTGAACCATTGTGCTTCAGGCTCTACGGTTATATATCATTCATGGATGGCATAACAATGGGCTTTGGAGTTGGCCTATCTAGTCATGGTCGCTACATAGTGGTAACTGAGGTACAATCTGATCTTTTTCTGCCCATAAATATTTGATCTTGCATTTTAAACTATCATAGCTTTACTAGTTTTCACTCTAACGTTATGTTCTTCCATAAATCTGTGGGTCATACTGTTCTTGCTATGCCAGAAAATTCAATTGGTTTGTTTCCCGATGTTGGGTTTTCATATATAGCAACTAAAACTCCTGAAGGGGGTTCTATTGGTATGGTTATCTTACTCTAAAACTAAGCTCTAGGAACTGCACCAAAAGCAGTTAGTAAAAGGATACTATAGATTAAACCAGTAGTACTGGGTTTGACGTGGGAGGGTCATGCTTATTTTGAGCCTTGTCTTTTAAAACTTTTTGGTTCCTTGACGGTGATAGCCTTTTTGGTTCCTACTATTATCGTACAGAAATATGGTTCGTGTTCAATTCTCCTGAAATGTCTACCGCCATTGTATCTTCTTTAATGATTAATCTTACGACTTAAAGCACAATCTTTGGTTTGCTCAAAGCTCTAACGTGTGTTGCAACGTTGCTTCTTTTGGCAGGGGAGATTGTGCATTTTGGTGCCGGGTACATCACAGATTCCTGTTATAAATTCCTCTGTATAAAACATGTACAATCTTATTGTCGTAGCCTTTGATGAAGTTTTAAGATGCTTCCTAAGTTATATTTATTCAATCTTATTGTTCAATGATTTTTCTTATCCTTTTCAGGGTCTTCCTCTTAGTTCAGCTTGTAAGTGTCATCAGTTTCATTACATGGCTGAATGATTTCTATCAAATCGAACTGTATTACATTTTCTTCTGTTGGATCCATATGATGTCACTTGCAACTGCTGCATATGTTATATGCGTAGTTGGGATCATCATGATGTACATCTGGTATGCGCTGGAACCGTCCTGCCTACTTAATATTTTCTTCATCACGTGGACACTGGTACTCATTCAGCTCATGATGAGCGTTTCCCTCCACCCTAAAGTATGTTCTCGAAACTAACGGATTTGTAATCAAATCTTAAACCCTAAACCCTAAACCCTGAACCCTGGACCCTGGACCTGGACCCTGAAGAGGAGGAAAATAAAGGAAGAACGTAGTTTTGGGGAATAGGTGAGTAGGGCTTTTGTTTGGTGACAGCCTGTCTCCAGCTGTGTCTTCCAAACCTCTTGCTTCGGAGTTCCCTGACAATGGCTTTGCCTCGTGTTTCTTCCGGTTCTTACGTGGATTTTGCCCTGGCGGATTCTACCTCCATTGAGGATTGCTTCTCTTTTTCCTTATAGACAACGAATTGTTATTTTATTTGACATGATAATTAGGGGAGTTCAAATTTCGAACTAATTTGATTAATTGATTGAACTTAATTAGTTTGGTTAATTCGGTCGGTTACTGAATTAGTTCGGTCAGTTAACGGTTAATAATTTTTTAGATATTCGATTAACGATTAATTCGGTTCGAAATCAATTAATTAACCAAATTAACCCTTAAATATTTTTTTTATTATTTTTTCACAACATAATATGCTGCCCCCACTTCCTGCTACTCAGTTATCAATTATTTTATGCCTTGATTTGTGTAAAGTATGAGCACGAGCATGGGCAGGTAGAGCACGCGTTTGACAGTATAGGAACTTGCAGTCATTTCTTGAATGTGTAATTCATTAATCTAAATTTTATGATCTTCTCATCATGCATAGTAGATATATTTACCTATAATTTCCTTAATGCATCCAAAAGAAAATTCACCAGCATACTTCTTCAAAGACTTGCAAGCTCTTGTACAATTATAAAAATAACTTCTTCAAATTCACCTGCAGCAGAGTGAACATTCCTCACTAACTTTGTCAATACATTAGCCCAATATAGGTCGCCACCCATATTTATGCCATCTCCGATTACAACTTTCTTGCCTTCATCATCCACTTCATGTTCAAGAGGCTTGTGCAGTAAGTCCTGCACAAAGAAGTTAGCTATCTCCCTGATTGAACATAAGAAAAATCAAGCATTTCACCTAGCAATACTGCAATAGTAGCTGTCGAGTTGCAGTTAGCACAACCTTCATACACTATTTATTTTGTAGAATTTCAAATTTGTTGGTTTGTTTGAACTAAATTGATAGATACACATATCTTATTTTAATATAATGTTTGAATCAAGTTAATTAGATATTGTAAACTATTTTTTAATTAAAAAAATATTAAATTCAAAAATTCTAAAAAATTTTGGTTAATTCGATTATCGGTTAAAGAAAAAAAATTCGATTAATTCAGTTAATGGTAGTTCCGTCGGTTCGGCCACCAAATTAACCGAATAAACAGCCCTAATGAGAACCATTAGTTTAATAATTTGTATCTAATAAATTAGTATAAATAGATAATTTAATTTAAATTCATAAAATATGAAAATCGAATTATGATCAAATGAATTTATATTTTTTGAAAAATTAGAGGGTTAAAATTATAATTCTACCACATTTAAAAATGTAAATGGAGAAAGCGAGAGTGATTTAGCAGAAGGCCCAAAGAAAAAAACTTTCTGATGACATAAAAAAGTAAACTTTCCCGTTCTCTGCCAATCAGTTTATTTTTGTTGGAATTTTTTCTGTTTTTTGGGGGTTTTTTTTCGATCCAATCACGAGCATTGAATAGTGAGCCTCTGTCTCCCTCTCAAATTTAGCTTTCCATTTCGGTATTAATTATGATCTCTCGTCGTATATTTATGCTCACATTTCGCTAATTTTTTTGTAGCGACTATCTGTTCAAGCTTCTGCTCATCGGCGATTCCTCCGTCGGGAAAACTTGTTTGCTTCTCAGATTCGCTGTAAACCTTAATGTCTTGTAACTCATTTATATATTTAAATAATGTGCTTCTCATTTAAAGGTTGGAGTGGAGACATAATAAGATATGTATGTAGATGAAAAATAATGAATGAAGCGATTAGAACTTTAAGCTAATAGAAGGTGATGATGGACGAGAATGATTTGAGGAGGATTCTTGTAATTAAATGTTTCTATAACTTGGTTCTCGACTTCTCGTATCCAATCTCAAACCTACGGAGATTAAGGTTTCCTGGTTGGTTTGGTTTAATTGATCTGTTGATTGTATTTACTTGTTTTGGCATTTGAGTTCTTTTATATTTCCCATAGTAATTTAAGAAGATAAATGTCTAATGAGATTGGTCTCAATGTTAATCTTAGAGTAGTCAAGGTCTAGAATTCCAAGTGTTTTTCCTTTACTATTTTCCAGGATGATTCTTACCTGGATTGTTACATCAGTAACATCGGTGTTGATTTTGTGAGTTTCTTTTCCCCTAAAGAAAGCTGTTTCCATTTACTATAAATGTGAAAAAATCTCTACTTGTTTATATCTAGAAAATCAGAACTATGGAGATGGAAGGAAAGATAATCAAGCTGCAAATTGTAAGTATAATGCGATTCTTTTGACGTTAATTTACAATCGCAATTAACTCCCATTCTAAGCCAATAATTTCATTCTTTTTGAAGTTACTTCTGCTCAAAGCTTGTTTGAATATGGTTAACCTATTATCTTCTTTATAAATTCATTAAATTTTAGACTATATAATTTCAAGTGTAATTTGCAAAAGCCGTTTACAATTGCATGATCCTTGAGTCAAATGATCGCTTTGGTAGGAAAAAAAATACACTACAATGTAGATTATTAATGTGAATTATACTTGTATCTTTTTTATGTTTTAGCTTTATGGCAACGGTATACTGATGTTTTTGCTTGCTTTATAGATGGGCTTGTAATGATTGAAAAATGGGATTCCTTTTTATCAGTTACTAGGAAGCTGTAGCTTGCATAGCAAAAATAGCTTCACTTTTGATACACCAGAAAAAGGAGTGTTTGTTGGAAAAAAAAACTGTTCATCCAATCTGCTCTTAATGTTGGGAACAATTAGCAACAAAGAGCCATGCATCACTCTTCTCTAAGTTTTTACCTCCTGTTTCAAATGGCACCCAATTAACATGTGGTATTACTCTCTCTTTTGCTCAGTGGGATACAGCTGGACAGGAGCGTTTTCAGACTATTACAAGCAGTTATTACCGAGGAGCTCATGGGATAATAGTAAGAAACTGGACCCAATTGATCTGAGGAGTGTAGAGTATTGACCCAACTGGACCTTGAGGTTGGGATTGGAGTGTGGTTCAAAGAAAGTTGTTCATCAAATTATTAGCTAATTGAATTTCCTTGTCAATCTTGCAAATATAATGAACATGCATGCGGCCAACGTTCTGATGTTGTTTCATTATGCAAAGTGTGATGCGATGCGAAGCAAGAACGCCGGAACTACCTAATTCTCTAGTTATTGAAAAAGGAGGGTTGCCTTACTGAACATAGATATTGCTATTCTGACCTTGTAAAGTTGTTTTGAATGTTTTAATCTGTAACTCCTTTTTCTCTCATTAAAGGACATTATCACACTCGTTTTAATTATTCTTTTACCCCTGTAAGTATCTCAGCATTCTTTTGTCTACTGGGATTTTGACAGATTGTTTCTGATGTTACTGAGACGGAGAGCTTCAGGAGTGTCAAGCAGTGGTTACCCGAGATTGACAGATATGCTAATGAAAGTGTGCAAACTTCTTGTTGGGGACAAATGTGATTTAGTTGAAAACAAGGTTGTTGACACGCAAACAGCAAAGGTGGTTTTTGTTATTTGATTCTAAGGCACTTACTATCAGTTTAACGTCTAATTTACCAAGATGGTGGAGATTCTTATGGAACTTCTGTTTTCATTTAGAAACTTCTTGTGAGTTATTGATGATTGAGATGGCTAATTGGGTGTACCATTGGAATCTGCAGTAAAATGATGAGACAATTTACCGCAGGCGTCATAATTTGATTAATTTACTATTATGTTCTTCGATGAACGGCAGGCATTTGCTGATGAAATTGGGATTCCCTTCCTGGAGACAAGGGCAAAAGATGCAATCAACGTGGAGCAGGCTTTCTTAACCAATGCTGGAGCAATCAAGAAAAAGTAAAAAGAGTCTATCTTTCATAAATTCCTTTTTTTCCGAATGCTATGATCTATTAACTATATGCTAATGATTGATTATTGGTAAGATATTGCTATCATCACCTACTATAACAGGTTCTCAATCCACTTCAGAACATTTAATATTGCTGTCTATGAATTATTCTGTCACATTGCTTGCTTATTATGGAGTCCGCTTGGCAAGATCATCAGAAAACTATTTGTTCTAGTCCGGACCAGTTTTAGTTCTTTTACTTCCCATGACTTTGATTATGAAGTTTGCCTATATGATTTTGTTTCAAAATCTGTGAAGAATGGGTAACCAGCCAACTGCTAACAAGGCAACCGGAACTGAAACTGTTCAAATGAAGGGGCAGCCGATCGAACAGAAGGGCAATTGCTGTGGCTAGTCAACCATGTTATAGGTTTTTTCCGTTTAGACAGAAAACATGTTGCAAACCTTTCAAAAACTAAAATGCTGCTTAATTGGAAGTTCTGGTACTTGTTCATGTTTGTACTATATTTTTGTTATAGAATAGATTACTTATCATATGCGTCTAGTTTTGTTATAATTATACTAACATGAATAACTCAAATGTGTAATGATACAAAATGAAATAGCAGTAATAATACGAAAAGAATCCGACAACATAACCCTCAACTTCAGTAAAAAGGAAACTGAAATTCAATAAAGAAGAAGAAGAAAATGTGATGAACAAAGATGATATTCATGATAATGAGCAGCAAGCCTTATTCGAGTTGGTTTCTGGTGCTCCAACTTTCTTTAATACTTGCATGTGCTGGCTCATCTGAAAAAGTGACTTCTTACTAGTGATGCAGACAGCGGAATATTTAGGAGAGACTGGTCTGGAAAGCTTTCTCAACATTTGTTGCATTCAGGGCTGATGTCTCGATGAATGAAAGAGCTTCTTTCTCTGCAAAGCTTTGACCATCCCCTGTAGAAACTGCTCGCAGATGCTCCATATCAGTCTTGTTCCTAATCAACATAATCATGATACTCGAATCTGCATGGTCCCGGAGTTCCTTCAACCATCTGTTCACATTTTCAAATGTTGTCAGCTTAGTTACATCGTAGACCATAAGAGCTCCAAGGGCTCCCTTATAGTAGGCACTGGTTATTGCTCTATGCCGTTCCTGACCAGCAGTGTCCCATATTTGAGCTCTCACAGTCCTCCCCTCAACCTTAAACATCAGAAGCAGAGTAGTGAATGCATTTTGCATGGCTAACATGCATTAGCTAAGGCAATAGAAGGGCCAACTTCCCCATCTACACTCCTCAAAAGGATCAACTTCAGATATATTGACTCATCTCCCGACAACAGATAAACCAAAAGACTAAAATCTAATCTTACTTTAAGATGGTAAGACCATCAAGTAGACTGAGGTCACTGTGCCAAATAAGATGTGAAAGTAACATTAGCACATCTCGATTTGGTCAAGCTGATAGGATTACCAAGTTTCCTTATTTCCCGTAAAGGGTTGATGGATTTGTTTAAATCATTTAATTATTTTTTTTAAATTTCTATTTAACGATATTTTCTTAGATAAAATTTATATTTAAAACTTAAACAACTATTATTAAAAATAATTATGAACTCTAGATGTTTAAACAAAAATTAAAAGAAAAACACAGGTCTTCAACCGTATCACCCATTTATATTTTCCAATCGAAAGTCCAACTCCAAGCTCATTTAAGGAGCGGAAAGAAAAGTAATGGGCCGAAGAGGATCACTAAATATATGGACGTGGATCTTAATTCCAGCCTAAGAAAAAACATTCGCAACTCATCCACGCTACAAAAACCCTAGTTTCCCTTGTATTTATGTATTCCACTTGAACTCTCTCTTGCTGGTTGCGGCTTCTAGGTTATCTCGCATCTCAGTTACTCCCTTTGATTAATAGATAACACCTATTTCTTTGAATGCTTGTACTGATATAGTTTCATTTTGTGCCTTGTTTCGTTTCCAGATCGGCAATCTGAGCGTCCCTGTTTTCAATCAAGCCATTAGCCATGGCACTGGTAAGTTTATGGAGAAGTGATTTCAAGTGGAATTCAAAGGGATAAACCTTAAATATCTTATCGGATTTATGTTATAACTCTGTTTTTTCAATTAGTTGATCGGTTTGCAAATAGTGCTAACAACCAGCTATGGATCTTAACTTTTTTGCTTTCGATTTCAATTTTTGATCAATTAACCAGTACAAATTGAAAGATCGATGGCTATAGATTAAGTGTCTTTCATAGATAGAGCTGCTGCAATTTTGTTAAAGCAGTTGGGAAAGTGAAAATGAAAAATCTTTATAGCCTATTTATAGGCAAAGCGTTAGTTCCTTTTTTTCTGATTACTGACATCTTTTCTAGTGGTTGATTGTCGTGTTTGATGTTGGAATGAAGCTGCTAAATCATTAGTTTGTTGGTTTAAATGCAGATATTGCATGCAGGAAAAACAAATAAAAATGCCTTCAAGGCTCTTATTACTGCGGAATATAGTGGTGTGGCTGTCAAATTGGCTGAGAACTTTGAGATGGGTGTCTCAAACAAAACTCCGGAGTTCCTCAAGATGAACCCAATTGGGAAGGTAACCATGTCTATTTAAAGGATAAATTTAGAGAACATAGTTTTTGTACTATTTTCATCTCTATTCTATTTTTGCTGAAAAAATCATTTCCTTGTCTAGGTTCCTGTGCTGGAAACACCCGAAGGTCCTGTTTTTGAGAGCAATGCCATTGCTCGTTATGGTTAGAAGACATGCTGACTACATACAAGTCCGTTTTCTTCTTTTGATATTTGTTGACTTATCGGTCTTTTTTTCTGTTATCTGCAGTCACTCGCTCAAAGGCTGATAACTCTCTGTTTGGTTCTATGTTGATTGATTATGTGAGTTATTTTTTCTTCGATTTTCTGGCATCTGTTAATTTTATGTGAAATTATTCTACCAATTGCTTGTTTATACATTTGCTTGTTTCTCACAGGGCCATATTGAGCAGTGGATTGATTTTGCATCCATGGAAATTGATGCTAATATTGCAAAATGGTTCTATCCAAGAAAGGGCTTTGGCACTTACCTTCCTCCAGTAAGTTCTATTCAATGTATCAGACTTTGTTTCATTTACCCGGTTGCACATAAGGTCTGAAGAGGAATTACGCTTGATAATGAGAGAATAATAGGAAAGACTGGTTTATAGTCATTTCATACATTTTCTAGACCATTTTAGAAGTTGTAGGACAACTACTCTGGGTTGTTTTGGTCTTAATTTGATTAAGGCTTTAAGCAAATGGAAGCAAGAAATAATTAAACCAATTTTAGTACAAAGCATGCCCATCTAGTTGAGAAACCAACCAGGCTGGCTTTTTTCCTTTGTTATTTGTTTTGAAGAGCAATGGTTCTTTACTCCATTTTGATTTATTAACGTAAACTAGAATATAAATTGCAATGTTTGTAAATTCTAATCTGATTACTCACGAGTGTTTTGCATATAGGCTGAGGAAGCTGCTATTGCTGCATTGAAGAGAGCCCTTGGCGCTTTAAACAGTCACCTTGCCGCTAATACCTACCTGGTTGGACATTCAGTCACCCTTGCTGACATTATCATGACATGCAACCTCTACCATGGTTTCACCTTGATCATGATAAAAAGTTTTACCTCAGAGTTCCCTCATGTTGAGAGGTACTTCTGGACCATGGTTAACCAACCAAATTTCAAGAAGATTCTTGGTGACGTGAAGCAGGTTACGTCTGTTCCACCTGTTCCATCAAAGAAGCCAGCTGCCCAGCCAAAAGAAACTAAGCCAAAGATCAAGGATGAACCAAGGAAAGAAGCGAAGGAGGAGGCTGAGAAACCAAAGGCAGAGGCTGCTGAGGAGGAAGAGGCACCAAAGCCCAAACCAAAAAATCCTCTTGATTTGCTGCCTCCTAGTCAGATGGTACTGGATGATTGGAAGAGGTTGTACTCTAACACAAAGACCAATTTCCGTGAAGTTGCTATCAACGGTATCTGTGATGTTTTCATGGTGGTTTCTCTTGTCTTATTGAAAACATTTTTGACCAATCATATATCTTGCTTATTACAGGATTCTGGGAGATGTATGATCCTGAGGGATACTCTCTTTGGTTCTGTGACTACAAGTACAATGAGGAGAATACAGTGTCATTTGTGACTATGAACAAGGTGGGAGGATTCCTACAGAGAATGGATTTGGCACGCAAGTATGCATTTGGGAAGATGTTGGTGATTGGGAAGGACCCTCCATTCAAGGTCAAGGGACTGTGGCTTTTCCGTGGGAAAGAGATCCCTCAGTTTGTCATGGATGAGTGCTATGACATGGAACTCTATGAGTGGAAGAAGGTTGACATCTCAGATGAGGCCCAGAAGGAAAGAGTTAATCAGATGATTGAAGATGCCGAGCCTTTTGAGGGAGAGCCTCTTTTGGATGCCAAGTGCTTTAAGTGATCAATTTGACTCCCTTTCCAGCTCTATTTTATGGTTTTAGCACTATTTTGTTTCATTTCTGCCTTTCAGTTTTTTAGTAGAGTTTTGGTTTGTTCACTGTTAAAGGGTCAGATAGACGCTGTTCTGATGGTAACCTTATAAGTTTCTGTTTCTCCCAAACATACCTCTAATATTTTAGTTTTAGATATTCTGCTCTGCTCTATTTATCCTTCCAAGTTTCAGTTGATACACACCGTTTTGAGTGTTGAGCACCAAAAAAACTTACTAGGTTATGCACTTCAATGAGGCTAAGTGTATCACTCTGGTTTGTCCAGAGGATTAAAGAAAGCATATGCGAAATGATAATAATCTATGAAACAAATGTGACTCATACCTATTAGTGTCAGTTTGTATGTTGGGTACGAATTTAGTCGTCCTATTATTTGTCAGGTGTATTGATTATACAATAAGTGAATGAGAAAAATGAACAACGTGAATTATCTCTTTCTGCTCTATATTTTAAATGTAAATTTATAAATGTTCACCAATATTCAACTACATAAATATTACCAAATCCTAGTAAATAGAAGAAAAATATTTGGGCCAAAGTTACAAAAATATAGTGTATTTGCGGGACATTTTTTAAAGGAAAAAAATGGCGTTTTTAAAGCCAAAATAGGCCCATTCCACTTTCTCTGTCATGGAAGTTCAGGAGTCGATTACAGTCAATGAAGGATGACCACCTTTGTACTGCCCTTTTGGTACCAACATGATTACCGGATTGTCTTAATTGCAAAAATTGAAACCTTAATTTAAATTTAGATATTTGATCCATATTATTTACCTTTAATGAAATTAAAAAAATGCCTATGAAATAAATGTTAAAAAATAAAAAAATGTTGTAGAATACAAAAAATAAATAAATCAGGGTTCTTAGTTCTTAAAATAAAAAAAGGACTAAATTAAAACAAATTAAAGTTTAAGAGGTTAAAACTTGAGGATAGAATGATCAGAGGCATATTTTTGAACAAGGATTCTCATCGAAGTCAGTGTTCTGGGGTCCAGTCAGAGCAACGTATTCAGACCTCGAATTTAGAGGAGAGACAACCTCCTCGAAATTCACATGTGAAGTCAGGTCTGAAGGATGCAAGGGTTGCTTTAGATGATAAGGTTGCTGGGAATGATTTGCATGGTACTGAGAAGACAGAAAGACGTAGTCGAAACAAAGATAGAACAGATAAAGATTATTTGACCCTTCACTGTTCTGATGGATCATATGCGAATGATGATTCCTTATCATCATCTGCTTCTCAATCTGCACAGATTCCTATAGATTCTTCATATCTAGGTATGACTGCGTGGATCTGTTAAATCTAGTATTATTGTTCCTTAGGGATATTATTTTCCTATAGATTCTCCATAATTAAGTTGGAGTTGATTGCTACCTTATCACAATTCACAAATGCAAATGCACGCTTGGTATCATTTGTGTTATGTGCTCAGATTGCAGAAAACAGAATTTTCCTTTACATTGAATAACATTGACGGTTCTTTTTCTGTACAATTGGCAAGGGGCTTATGGTGATACTAAAGTTGATTTCTCCAATGTGCGGAGCATCCAAGGTAAAACTTTTGGAAATGGTCATGACCGTTCTTTAGATAATGGTTAGTTTCAGTTTTGAAAACTGAACAACTCTTTGTATCTGTCATGTTTTTTGTTGTTGCAAATTTCACATTTCATTTACTTCCCTTTTTAAAACCATGCAGGATTCCATAAGTATGTGAATCATCGTATAACAGTTACTAACGGATCATCTGCTGTGATTAATGGAAAACCAGGGAAGAGGGCCAATGTTTCTGGCTATGGTTCTCATGAGGTGCTTAAACTTTCGTGATTCCTGATTTTTTATTTGTATTCTGCTGCATTTTTACTAACCAAGTGTTATGTATGTTCTCTAAATTTGTAGAAACAAGTCTGGTTACAGAAATCGAGTTCTGGTTCATAGTGCATTTTAAAATGGTAAGCATTTGATCATGAACCTTGCCATTTGCACGTAATTAGTTATTTATTGTAATCTGAAGTTTTCGGTAAATTATCGGCATAGAATTTAAATAGCATAGATAGTATTGAGAAATACTTCATGGAGAGAGTATGGTTGTTAGAAACTTAAGCCCCTTGCAGAAATTCGGGGAAACCAACAATTAGATCAGTAGTCAGTTTGTGATTCTTTTTATAGCATATTAGTTGGATATTCACCATATTGGTTGGATAGTTGCCAATCTGACTTACTGGGAATCTCTATTAACTTTGTTGTTGGTATTTTGCCAACATAAATATGTTATTTGTACTAACAGCAGTTTTATGAAGCTCGATGGAATTTTACAAATTTTGGGAAACGTGAAAGATATATAATTGGAAAAGTGTGCCTGGAAAAGTTAGAAAATCATCCTTCATCCACCAAAAGTCCTCGATGTGTCTACAAAGAGCATATACAAAAGAGTATATATCTTTAGCCCTCTTTCCTCAGGATTTTAACAAGTATACTAGAAAAACAGCCCAACGTTTTTCATAGAAGGTGGCTAATCATTCTCATTTATGTAGGTTATTTCATTAAGTTTATCTCAACATAAACCACTCAAACTCAGTTATAAAATAATTAAGAGCTTTTATAAAAGTTCAACCTCATAAAGGGTATGGTGACTTTCTTCAAGTTCATTAAAAATGAACCACCCAAACTCTGAGATAAGAAGTCATTAAGAATAAATATTCAATCTCATAATTCGACGAATTCAATATGTCCTTCTCACTAGAAACTCTCATTCTCTTGGGTTTGAATTCATTAAGAGTTTAAGAAAACTCATCCTCTCAAGCGGTAAGTTCATATAGTCCTTCGCGATTAGAACTACCCACTCAACTCTGGGTTATGAACTTATTAAGAATAGATATTCAGCTAATAAATTCGTCAAGTATTTCTCAGTAAGACCACCCATAGCCTGGGCTATGAATTTATTAAGAGCAATTAAGCTCACCTTGGGCAATGCACATTATTCATCATAGGGATAGGCAGTATAAATGTGCACTATGAGTCTTTTCATGGTTTCGTTTGACCACATGGAACTTAGATAACTAAGTTGGGTATCCACTATGAATTCCTCAACCAATGGGCTTTAGACCCATCCCCTCGATGAATCTAGGACCAGATTCGTACTTAACCCTTTGGTAAGTGGATCTGCTAGGTTCCTTTCCGACTTCACATACTCTAAAGAGAGCATTCCATCCTTTATTAAGTGTTTAACTTATTCATGTCTTATACGAATGTGTATTTTCTTACCATTGTAAGCTTGGTTTTTAGCCACACATATCGCAGCTTGTGAATCACACAATAAAGAAATCGGAGGAGTCGGTCTTCCCCACAACGGAATATCTACTAACAAGCTTCTGAGCCACTCAACTTCTTGCCCAGCTAGGTCAAAAGCTATAAACTCTGACTCCATGGTAGAACGAGCAATACAAGTCTGCTTTGATGATTTCTACGATATTGATGCTTCACCTAAAGTAAAAACATACCCGCTCGTAGGGATGGCAACTCAACCCGAACCGACGGGTTTCGACCCGACTCGACCCAGGTGACCCAAAAACCTGACCCGACCCATTGCCATCCCTACCCGCTCGTAGAGCTTACCTCATCATTATCAGAAGCTCAGTTGATATCACAATATCCTTCCAGTACCGCAGGAAAGCTAACAAACTCAAGTTTCCAATCCAAAGTACCCTTAAGATACTTCAGTAAGCGTTTAAAAGCAATCCAATGTTCACTACTTGGATTATAAGTATATCTACTCAGTCTACTCATAACATAAGCAATATCAGGCCAAGTATAGTTCATTAAGAACATTAAGCTTCAGATTAATTTAGCATATTCAGTATGGAAAACACTACTTCCTTTATTATTAAAGTGATGTATGTTAGGGTCATAAGGAGTTCGAACAGAGACGACATCAAAACTGTCAAATTTCTTTAGCACTTTCTCTATATAATGTGCTTGATTTAAAGAAAATCTATTTTTAGTTTTGGTAACTTTGACTCCTAAGATTACATCGAATTTTCCCAAATCTGTCATCTCAAACTTTGTGGTCAAGAAATTTTTTACGTTGATAATGGACTCAATGTTAGAACTGAAAATCAACATGTCATCAACATAAAGGCTTATGATAACACATTCAGTGCCAAACATCTTTGAATACACACAAGCATCCGAACCATTCACAACAAAACCAAAACTAAGAATAGTTTTATGGAATTTCTTATACCACTGTTTAGGAGCCTGCTTAAGCCAATAAAGTGACTTTTTAAGTCTACAGACTTTGCCTTCCATACTAGGTGCTTCAAAACCAAGTGTCTGCTCTATATAAATCTCCTTATCTAGATCCCCATTCAAAAATGCAGTCTTAACATCCATTTGATGTACCTGCAACTTATGAATAGAGGCTAGCACAAATAATGCACGAATCATTGAGATTTTCGTAACGGGAGAGTATGTATCAAAGTAATCTAAACCAAACCTTTGAATGAACCCTTTGATGACTAACCTTGCCTTGTACCATTGAATCGAACCATCTGGCCTCAGTTTCTTTCGGAAGACCCATTTGTTGTAGATTGGTTTGAATCCCTTAGGCAAGTCAACTAATTCCCAATTATGATTAGACATTATCAATTCTAGTTCATCATTAATAGCGTTTTTCCAGAAACTAGCATCGATAGATCTTATAGTTTCTTCAAAATTTTAGGATCCTCATCTAACAGAAAAATTTGAGCTATAGGATCTGAAATGGGGTCTAAATCATTTATCTCAAAAATAAAGGAAGTAATAAAGTCTGGTCCAAAAGATGTTTTAACTCTCTGCCTTTTACTTCTTCTAGGCTCAAAAATAATTTGTTCAGAAGACCTAGCAGGATTACTAGAAGAAGTGGATGGAATATATTCTATTTGTCTCGGTTCTTTTAAAGGAAAAATATTTTCAAAGAAAACAACATCTATTGACTCACAAATAGAATAATCTTGTAAAAGCATGAATCTGTATACAACACTATTCGTAGCATACCCTATAAACACTGCATCAACGGTTTTAGGTCCGATGGTGAACTTCTTAAAGTCCGACAAACCCACTTTGGCTAGACACCCCCATACTTTCAGGTATTGTAAATTAGGAGTGTATCATTTCCACAATTCATATGGGGTAGAATCTAATTTCTTATGAGGAACTCGGTTCAAGATATGAGTTACCGATAGAATGGCTTTGTAACATCCTCCATGCCGGGTTAGTGATTAATTTGCAAAGTTTCAACATTTGGTGATTTAAGTAAAACGATGGAAGAGTTCAATGACCTATTGGAGTTATTTGATGTAGGATTGAATTATAAAGAATGAAAATTAAGAGGGCAAAAGAGTATTTTAGTAAGTGAAATAATTAAATATTCCTTAAGGTGATTTTATAAATCACGTGGGAAGTATTTGAGATAAACAAGGTTCCAGACATTTCTCTTCTTCTCCTTCTTCTCCAACTATGAAGCTTGCAAGCAAAGGTGCGTTGTCTTCTTTTGGATTAATTCTTATGAGTTAAGCATGGGTTTGGTTAATGAAGATTTAGGAAATATGATTGAGAGAAACAATGATCCTAGAACTCAAAGAATTGTAAGTTAAGGGAGATTAAAGGTTGGGAGCCATTGAATGAAATCCTAGATTAAAGGTCATAATAAGAATTAGAAGTTGGATTTGACTTGTCATCAAGCTAATTAAGAAGTATGAGGTGATAGAATTAAAATTAGAACAAGTTGGAATTTGAGTAAGATTCTTAAATTCTATATGGAGGATTATTTTTTTTAGTTTTAGAGGTATTGAATGGATAATAATTAGTTTAAGTAAGTGTATGAAAGTTAAGAGTATTAAAGGGAGTGAAATATGAATTTTTGAGCTAAAATGAGATGATTTTCGAGCTCAAAATAGGATTTCTGGGCTAGGGGAATCGGTACCCATTCAAGGGGAATCAATACCCCCTCAACGAATATGAATTTCCAGAATGCTAGAGGGGAATTGATACCCCCAGGGGGGGACCGATTCCCCCATAATAAAAAAAAAAGAAGAAAGAAGAAAGACTAAACTATAAATCCCTTAAATTGGAAGGCTATTAGAGGTTAATTTCAAGACTTAGGCATCTGATAATCATCTTGAAAATTTTGCTTATGTAGATATTGAACCTAATCGAGTTCCGGAACTATCGACAAGTAGGATCAATCGAGGGAAAGACAAAGAAATCTAGGTGAGTGCATATGCATAGCATGAATATGTATTTTATTCAGTTCTAGACTTGTGATAAGTCTAGATTCAATATTTTGATACATGATCGTAGTTCATATGATGATATATGACATGAATCCATACCATATGCATTATGGGACATGAATATGAAAGAAAAGTTATATGAGTTATATGATAAAGGTATGAAAATAATATGTCTACGTGATATGAGTTAGATAAATTGTGAAAGCCCATGTTATGTAAATGAGAACTATAGGTATAGTTGGCATGCCAAGGGTAGAGGGTCTATGTGGTCCTTCGAGACATATATGTATTCTTTGGAACATGTGTGAGGTCTGGTGAGACACATACTTGATCCTTGGTATATGTATATGATTCTTAAGGAATGATATGTGGTCCTTCGGGACATATATGTATTCTTTGGAACATGTGTGAGGTCTGGTGAGACATATACTTGATCCTTGGTATATGTATATGATTCTTAAGGAATGATATGTGGTCCTTATGGACATTATTATATGGCACTACGGTGCAATTCTACGCGGCACTCTGGTGCAATTCTACGTGGCACTTAGGTGCAATTATATGAGCTGTGGTGACAGCATAGTGCACAACCTCACGATACTCACATACCTTAGGTTCTCTGTATGGTACCATGGGCTAATGAACTTACTAAGGCGAACTTATGAATGTGAATTTGATAA